CTTTCTCTTGTCTGATTGCTCTAGCTAGGACTTCCAGTACTGTGTTGAATAGAAGTGGTGAAAGTGGACATCCCTGTCTGATTTCTTTTCTCAGGGGGAATGATTTCAGCTTTTCCCTGTTCAGTATAATGTTGGCTGTGGGTTTGTCATAGATAGCTTTCATTACCTTAAGGTGTGTCCCTTCTATGCCCATTTTGCTGAGGGTTTTAACCATAAAGCAGTGCTGGATTTTGTCAAATGCTTTTTCTGCATCTGTTGAGATGATCACGTGATTCTTGGTTTTAATTCTGTTTATGTGGCGTATCACATTTATTGAGTTGTGGATGTTAAACCATCCATGCATCCCTGGTATGAAACCCACTTGATCATGATGAATTATCTTTTTGATGTGATGCTGGATTCAGTTAGCTAGTATTTTGTTGAGGAATTTTGCATCTGTGTCATCAGGAATGTTGGTCTGTAGTTTTAATTTTTTGTGAGGTCCTTTCCTGGTTTTTGTACTAGGGTGATACTGGTGTCATAGAATGATTTAAGGAGGATTCCCTTTTTCTCTGTCCTCTGGAATAGTGTCAATAGGATTGGTGCTGGTTCCTGTTTGAATGTCTGACAGAATTCAGCTGTGAATCCTTATGGTCCTAGACTTTTACTTACTGGCAATTTAAAAATAATTACCATTTCAGTCTTGCTGCTTGTTATTGGTCTGTTCGGAGTTTCTATATCTTCCTGGTTTAATTTAGGAGGGTTGTATATTTCCAGGAATTTATCCATCCCCTCTAGGTTTTCTAGTTTAGGCGTGTAAAGGTGTTCATAGTAGCCTTCAATAAACTTTTGTATTTCTATGGTATCAGTAGTAATATTTCCCATTTCATTTCTAATTGAGCTTATTTGGATCTTCTCTCTTCTTTTCTTGGTTAATCTTGCTAATGGTCCATCAGTTTTATTTATCTTTTCAAAACCAGCCTTTTGTTTCGTTTATCTTTTGCATTTTTTTTGTCTGTTTCAATTTCATTTAGTTCTGCTCTAATCTTTGTTATTTCTTTTCTTCTGCTGCATTTGGGTTTGGATTGTTCTTGTTTCTCCAGTTTTGTGAGGTGTGGCCTTAGATTGTCTGTTTGTGCTTTTTCAGACTTTTCGATATAGGCATTTAATGCTCTGAACTTTCCTCTTAGCACCGCTTTTGCTGTATCCCAGAGGTTTTGATAAGTTGTGTCACTGTTATTGTTCAGTTCAAAGACTTTTTAAATTTCCATCTTGATTTAATTGTTGACCCAACAATCACCCAGGAGCAGGTTATTTAATTTCCATATATTTGCATGATTTTGAGGGTTCCTTTTGGAGTTAATTTCAAATTTTATTCCACTGTGGTCTGAGAGAGTACTTGATATAATTTTGATTTTCTTAAATTTACTGAGACTTGTTTTGTGCCCTATCATATGTTCTATCTTGGAGAATTTTCCATGTGCTGATGAATAGAATGTATATTCTGCAGTTGTTGAGTAGAATGTTCTGTAAATATCTGTGAAGTCCATTTGTTGTAGGGTGTAGTTTAAGTCCGTTGTTTCTTTGTTGACTTTCTGTCTTGATGACCTGTCTAGTGCTGTCAGTGTGTATTGAAGTTCCCCACTATTATTGTGTTGCCATGTATCTCATTTCTTAGGACTATTAGTGATTGTTTTATAAATTTGGGAGCTCCAGTGTTAGGTGCATATATTTTAGATTGTGATATTTTACTGTTGGACTAGTCCTTTTATTGTTATATAATGTCCCTCTTTGTTTTGTTTAATCTGCTCTTTCTTTAAAGTCTGTTTTGTCGGTAAGAATAGCTACTCCTGCTCACTTTTGGTGTCCATTTGCATGGAATGTCATTTTCCACCCCTTTACTTTAAGTTTATGTGAGTCTTTATGTGTTAGGTGAGTCTCCTGAAGATAGCAGAAATTTAGTTCGTGAATTCTTATCCATTGTACCATTCCGTATCTTTTAAGTGGAGTATTTAGGTCATTTACATTCAGCGTTAGTACTGAGACATGAGGTACTATTCTATTCATTGTGCTGTTCGTTAGTACTGAGATGTGAGGTACTATTCTATTCATTGTGCTGTTCTTAGTACTGAGATGTGAGGTACTATTCTATTCATTGTTCTGTCTGTTGTCTGACTACCTTGTGTGTTTTTTTTATTGTGTTATTGTTATATAGGTCCTGTGAAATTTCTGCTTTAAGGAGGTTCTATTTTGGTGTATGTTGAGGACTGGTTTCAAGATTTAGAGCTCCTTTTGACAGTTCTTGTAGTGCTGGCTTGGTAGGGGCGAATTCTCTCAGTATTTGTTTGTCTTGAAAGACTGTATCTTGCTTCGTTTATGAAGCTTAGTTTGGCTGGACACAAAATTCTTGGCTGATAATTGTTTTGTTTACGGAGGTGAAAAATAGGACCCCAATCCCTTCTAGCTTACAGGGTTCAGTTACAGAGGGGGTTCATAGACCTCACACAAGAAATAATTCTGGGTGAGTCCACAGAGTAAAGTGAAAGCAAGTTTATTAGGAAAGTAAAGGAACAAAAGAATGGCTACTCCTTAGAGCAGCCCCGAGGGCTGCTGGTTGCCCATTTTTATGGTTATTTCTTGATTATATGCTAAACAAGGGGTGTATTATTCATGTCTCCCCTTTTTAGACCATCTAGGGTAACTTCCTGATGTTGCCATGGCATTTGTAAACTGTCGTGGCACTGATGGGAGTATAGCAGTGAGGACGACCAGTGACCTCTGGTCACTTTGGGTTTTGCTGAGTTTTAGCCGGCTTCTTTACTGCAACATGTTTTATCAGCAAGGTGTTTATGACCTGTATCGTGTGCCGACTTGAGTCTCATCCTGTGACTTAGGATGCCTTAACTGTCTGGGAATGCAGCCTAGTAAGTCTCAGCCTCATTTTACTCAGCCCCTGTTCAAGATGGAGTTGTCCTGGTTCACACGCCTCTGACCGTTTCTGCTCAGAAATCTGCTGTTGCTCTGATAGATTTTCTGTTATAGGTTACCTGATGCTTTTGCCTCACAGCTCTTAAGATTCTTTCCTTTGTCTTTGCTTTGGATAACCTCTTGACTGTGTGCCTAAGTGATGAGTTTCCCAGGTATTTGAGCTTCTTGTATTTGGATGTCTAGATCTCTAGCAAGGCCAGACAAGTTTTCCTTGATTATTTCCTCAAATAGTGTTTCCAAACTTTTAGGTTTCTTTTTTTTCCTTGGGAACACCCATTATTCTTAGATTTGCGTGCATAACATCATCCCAAACTTCTTGCTTTGCTCATTTTTAAAAATTCTTTTTTCTTTGTCTTTGATGGATTGGGTTAACTCGAAAGCCTTGTCTTCAAGCTCTGAAGTTCTTTCTTCTGCTTTTTCGATTCTATTGCTGAGACTTTCCAGGGCATTTTGCATTTCTCTAAGTGTTTCTTTGGTTTATAGAAGTTGTGATCGTTTTTTATTTATGCTGTTTCACTGAAGAATTTTCCTTTCATATTCTGTATCGGGTTTTTGATTTCTTTAAGTTGGAGTTCACCTTTCTCTGGTGCCTCCGTTATTAGCTTAGTAAATAACCTTCTGAATTCTTTTTCTGGCAATCCAGATATTTTATCTTGGTTTGGATCTGTTGCTGGTGAGCTGGTGTGATATTTTGGGGGGTGTTAAAGAGCTTACCGGGATTGTTTTTCTGGTTCCTTTTCATTTGGGTGGGCTATGTCGGAGGGGAGATCTGGGACTCAAGGGCTGCTGTTCAGATACCTTTGTTTCAAGGGGTTCTCCCTTGATGTGGTGTTCTCCTTCCTCCCCCAGGGATGGAGCTTCCCGAGAGCCAAACTGCAGTGATTGTTTTTGTTCTTCTGGGTCTAGCCACCCAGCAGAGCTACTGGGCTCTGGGCTGGTACTGGGGAGTGACTGCTAAGGGTCCTGGGATCTAATGGAGGGTGCAGAGGCGTGAAGTGACTGCTGAGAGTCCTGGGATCTAATGGAGGTCGCAGGGGCGTGAAGTGGACCCTACAGGGTCCTTGGTTGTGTTTTTGTTCAGTGTGCTGGTTTTGTGTTGGTTGGCCTCCAGCCGGGGGTTGGTGCCTTCAGGAACACATCAGCTGTGGTCCTGTAGGGAGGAAGCAAACTTGCCCTAAGGTTGCCCGGTTACGTATTCAGGTTTCTTAGGTGGTGGGCAGGGCCATAGAGCTCCCAAGAGATTATGGCCTTTGTCTTTGGCAGCCAGGGCTGGTAGAGAAAGACCACAGGGGGGCAGGGATAGGTGTGTCTGAGCTCAGATTCTCCTTGGGCGGGGATTGCTGTGGCTGCTGTTGGGACGGCGATGTGGTTTTCAGTCTAATGGAGTTATGTTCCCAGGGGCATTATGGCTGCTTCTGCTGGGTCACACAGGCCACCAGGAAAGTGGGGGAAAGCCAGCAGTCACAGGCCTCATCCCGCTCCCATGCAGCCCGCAGTCCTGAAGGCTGGTCTCACTCCCACCGTGTCCCCACGGCAGCACGGAGTCTGTGTCCAGGCAGCTGCTGACTGTGACTGGGAACTTGCCCCAGACCACCAGCCTCCCTGCTGAGCAAGCAAGCGGCTCACATCTTTTCAGAGTCTCAGGGAGCCTGCAGTGGCGATACAGTTCCGTCAAAGGGTCTGTGGATTCTCTTAGTTTACCTGGTATGTTGCTGTGGTGGTTCTTGGATCAAAAATTCACAGTGTGAGTCCCCACACGCTGCTCAGTCTGTAATCGGAAGCTGCAAGCTAGTCCTGCCTCTTCCCTGCCATCTTCTGTCAGACCAAAGGACTTAGTTTTCTGTCAGTGTCTCACATGGAAGGTTCAAGAGGAGGCTGGCTCATCAGTGTGAAAATCCAAATCTTAAGGGACTGAACATAATGGAGTAAACAGAACATACTGGTGTCCGTATGTTGGCTTATGTTTTCTTTCTTCAACTAGGTAGTATGTTTCCCACTCATTTCTTAACGCAGAATTTTTCTTTTCCCCACAGGAAGGAAAAGCTGATGCGATGCTCTCAGTGCCGCGTCGCCAAATACTGTAGTGCTAAGTGTCAGGTAAGACTTTTCAGCCATATGTAAGTGAAGCTTTCAAATTATTTACTCTTAAATTTGTCCTTCACTATACCTGTTGCCTGTGTCTACTTCTTTACAGCCTTTAACTTACTTTTACTTGTTATTCACCTGCTGAGTCACACAGGTCGCCAGGGACATTAAAATGTTAAAACTAATATTAAATATATATGATGAAAAATTGGGTGTGTGTGTATATGTCTACTATGTGAAAGTAAATGTCTATTCCTCCCCATCTTATTGCCCCCGACTTCAATTCTCATTTCCACTGTTAAGTTTCTTATGTGTCTTTGTAGCATTTGCTTGTGCAGACACGTTTGTATATCTATATCCTATGTTTAAAAAAACAAATATACGTTTGTATATATAAAGTACACGTATTCTTGTGTACTTTGATTTTTTTTTTTCATTTAACAATCTACTTTGAGGAACATTTTGTATCCCATATGTTTCATTGTATGAATTGACCATAATAACAATTTCTTTGTTGATGAATACTTAGAACTTTTATAATATTTGGTATTGCTACTAATGCACTTCACATCCTGTCTTGCACATTTTTGCACACTTCCCCAAATTAACAGTAGGATAAATTCTTCTTATTGTATCGATTATTGAAAGGATATATGCCTTTTGAATTTTTAGAGATAATGCCAAATTTCCTGCCAAGAGTTTGAGTTAATTCACGAGTACTATTGTTAACATCTTTGAAATTCTTGAAAGGATGTATAATTAACATTCAACATGACCTTTTCTTCTAACCTTATGATTAATCATTTAATAAGAAATGTAATTATGTCCTAATGAGTTACATCTTATTAAAAAGTCTAATTAGAGGTTTTGTGTCTGTGTCACTTGCCTCCTCCCCGCCACCCTCCACTCATCCTTTTTGTTTCTTGTGTTTTGTATATGCACACCTCCAGAATTTCTTCTTTCCTTCTTTTAAATTGAGGCCATGCTTGTCTCAGGGATTTTCTTCTCTCTCATTTTCTCCTTTGAAAGTAATTTCTTGAGACTACACAAAAAGTGGTCTTAATGGAAAAGAAATCAAATGTACAAAAATATCAGGGGTTCCAGGTTCTCATGTTAATTCTGGCATTTGCTGGTTAAATTATCTCAGGGAAAATACAAACTGTGTAGGCCTCAGTTTCTGAATCTGTACTGACAATAACAGTTAATATTTATTAGGCATCTACTGTGTGCCAGGCACTGTATTATTCCATTTGGTTTTCTAAGACTCTTGTGAGAATTAGGTACTATTATTATGCTCATTTTATTAATAAGGAAAATGAGGACAAAGAGGCAGCCAACTTGCCAAATATTCTATAACTGGTAGGCTCTGAAGTTTCAGAAATGAAACTCAGGTATTCAGACTTTTAACTGCTCTTTTAAACCTAAATTCTGTTCTTGCTGCAACATTATGATTAGGTCTAGTTTTCCATTATATATTGTATTATTCTTTTGTTTCTTGGCTTTTGGGTTTTTTTTTTTTTTTTTTTTTTTTTTTTGGAGACAGTCTTGCTTTGTCTCTTGGACTGGAGTGCAGTGGTGTTATCAAGTTCACTGCAGTCTTGAAATCCTGGGTTCAAGCGATCTCCCTGCCTCTGTCTCCTGAGCAACTGGGACTACAGGTACATGCCACCATGGCCAGCTAATTAAAAAATGTTTTTTAATGGGGACGAGATCTCACTGTTTGCCCAGGCTGATGTTAAACTCCTGAGCTCTAGTGATCCTCCTGCTTTGGCCTCCCACAGTGCTGGGATTACAGGTGTCGGCCACCGTGCCCAGCCAGTATAATACTTTCTAATTAAAATAGGATAAGAAATTTCAAAATGACTGTATCATTTCCACCTCATTTTTTATACAAAAGTTTTGTCGAAGCTAGAAAGATCCCTGATTTATGTAAGATTGTTACCAACAAGAAGTAACTAAAAGCAAAAAGTGAAACATTAATACTGCTTTTTATACAGTGTTCGTTCCAGAAAAGTTGTTTTATGGTGATGTTCTGGTTGTTTTATTCGTGTGAAGCTCAGCTATTTGTTTCTAGGAACTTCAGATTAAACAGAGTACATAGAGAAGCGACAAATTATCCTATTATTTGACACAAATCTAGGCAAACTTGCTTTCTAATCTCAATGACCTAAACAGTTTATTAATAAAACATTTAATAAACAGTTTACTTAATAAAACTTTTTTTTCCCCTGTTTTATGAGTATTTTTCCTCTAGTGCCACTTCATCCTTTTGTAGTACACTCAAGGAGGAGAAAAGCCATTATCTGATTAGAATGAGTAGCAGGAGTTTGGTGGGTGGGTATGTCATTTTGATGTATTGTAGTGCATGTGTTTTTACTACATATATTGGCTGTTTATTGGAGCATCAATAATAATGTCACTGTCAGATATACTGTGGAAGGTAACGGGAAAACAGCTAGCAAGATGAAGGATATATATAATAACAGCTAGAGTATGTATTTGTATGTGTGTGGAGGGGGAGTTAAAGATTGGACAGAACATATGCATTTAAACTGCTGTGTTTATCCCAACCTCAAAATACAGCATTAAACATTGTAATTATTGTGGATACCCACAAAGCTGCACAAAATTAAATGACAGACTGAACTGTGAACAGTAATGAACAGAATGCAAAAGCACTTGGAATGGAAATTGATACAGAGGATGTAAATCTGTAGTATAAAATTCATAATATGTATTCCCCAGGGGGACATGATTTTGGTTCACTAGCTTAGCATTTGATGTGTGGGACCATGCCATCAAGTTGTCTGAGAGAGGCTATTGGGGTACTGCAGGGTGTAACATGTGCCTTGTGCCCACAGGATGGTGTCAGTGCTATTGGTATTCACATTTCTTTCTTTTCTCTTTTTCTTTTTCGTTTTTCTTTTTTCTTTTTTTTGAGACGGAGTCTTACTCTGTTGCCCAGGCTGGAGTGCAGTGGCGCCGTCTCAACTCCCTGCAACCTCCACCTCCCAGGTTCAGGCAATTCTGGTGCTTCAGCCTCCCCAAGTAGCTGGGACTACAGGCGTGTGCCACCACGCCCAGCTAATTTTTTTTGTATTTTAGTAGAGATGGGATTTCACCATGTTGACCAGGCTGGTCTCGAGCTCCTCAGCTCAGGCAATCTACCAGCCTTGGCCTCCCAAAGTGCTGGGGTTAGAGGCATGAGCCCACCACATCCGGTGCACATTTCATTTTCAAACATAAGCAATACAAGGATATGTTTTCCTATAAAAACATCATATAGAATCATACAGAGTAAAACATAAAAGTCTTTCTCCAGCTTCCTTCCCACACTTCTACTTCTGTTTTTCAGAGATAATCCAAATGTGTCTATTTTATGGATGGAGGATATATACCAAACTATTGGTCTGTGCATCATATATAGTGTACATATCAACATATGTATTTACTCCTGTGTACAGTACTGTTTCTGTTACTGGTCAAAATATTTTTGTCATCAGTGGCTTTATATTCCTGTCTCTACCTTGTTATGAGGTGTCTATCATATAATTTAATAGAAGGAGGTCCAGTCTTTTTTCTCTATTGGCATAAACAGAACATCACACATGATTCCAAGATCAGAGAGGAGGAGCAGGCTAAATTTTCTTATAAAAAAGCATTTTCCAAACAAAAAATGGCAGCAATGGTGATAGCAAGTAAGTCAATTTCAAGTAATTCACCAAGTATTATTTTACCTTTTCAAGATTTAATTTGATTTATAATATATACATTTCTAGTTGAATGAATTAATTGCTGAGCAAAATAAGCAGTTAGGCACTACATGAAGTGGTAATTTATATACTTTTCAAAAGCACTGTTTTAGCAGATACAAGCTCTATTTTATATGGATAATTACAGACCTCTTTAAAAATGTGAATCGTATTTTTGGGTTTACATTTTACGCTTAGTTGTAGACCGATTTGATTCCTATTTGATGGGTAGAAAATTAATCCCGCATTAGTAAGCACTTAGCAGAGTGATTTAATAAGTTCGTTTCTAGACTGCCATACCCAAGGCCGTGATAAGGAAGGAAGTCAAGCTTTGTTTACTTCATAAATGTTCTGTGCTCGGCCTCAAACTGATAGGCTTTGCATGGAATGTACTGTAGATAAGTCAGCTTTGTATCTACCTGTAAACACAAAGGGAATGCTACATAAAGTTTAAAACGATTTGGTCGATTTGGTCGTATTTCAGTGTTTGACTCCACAGGTGTCTGGAGCCAGAAGTTTTTCTTTTCTCCCTTTAACTTTGCCTGCTGCATGATCTTATCTACTCCCATGACTTCAAGGGGCATCTGTATATTATTCCTTCTCGGTACTCCGTCTCCAGCCTCCTTTCTCCTGATTTCCACTTGGCTGTTGCACAGGTGTCTCTGGTGTAACATGTCTAAATCTGAGTACATTATCTTCCCCCAGACCCGCTTCCCTTCATGTTTTCCAGCCTCAGTGAACAGTTTCACCAGCCACCCAGCAGTCTGAGTTGCCAGGTGTCATCTCCGATTCTCATCCTTTCCTGGCCACACATCCGTTTAATCATCACGTTGTGCTGATTTTACTATCTCACTACCTAAAGATCTGAATTGGTTCCCTTCTCGCCAGCTTCTCTAGTACTACCTGTTACCATGGTCTCTTTTCTGGATTAGCTTCATGATTACTACGATTCTTTCCCACTTCTAATTTAGTTTCTACACAGGAGTTAGAGTGATTATTATGCTCTAAGTCCTGGGGGTTGGTGTGATAAGTAATAGGCAGCGAGTAAGTAAATAAGATCCTGACTTTGGTAAAGCTTCTGTTGTGGAGTAGAGAGACAGTGACAGATGCCCATGATTATATGATTGACTGTGATTGGGCTGAGCACAGACTTACTTGTGTGTAGGTGGATACAGAAGGGTTTCCTGTAGAGGTGACATTTAACCTGAAATCTAGAATTAACGTAGCTCTTTCTGCTCTTCTTTTAATTAGTGTTAGCGC